CATTGGCTGGTGTCAATTTCTGACAACGTGATTCGTTCAGATGCATCACGTGGTGTGTAAAACACTTCCTGGTTAGCTTTCCGCTAGAAATGTAAATCTCAAAATGGCAAAAGAACGGCGAAAAAAACGTTCACAGAGAAGACCACAACAATTGTCACTTGCACGAAGCAAGGTTATACAAAACACAAATGACCCCGAACATGAAATACCTTCACGGAGTGCGTCGATGCGCAAGCTATCATCCAAAGAACAGAGGGTTTAGCTAGCGCCTCACTGCAATCTTTAAAGTTCGTTTTCTCAAAATGAGTTTTTTCTCCTACTCTGAGTCCGAAATTTCCACTTCAGTTGCACTTACATACACCAAACCTTCCAGTTATATTCCCCTATCAATATTATGAAGGCTTTTACAGAAGGGTTTGTTCATATATCATTCATAGCCTGAATTATATAAGATTTTATATCTAGAAACATGGCGAAAATTGATATTTTAGGGCTGTTGACAATATTTTCTGATTTATGGAGTGATAAAGAGAGATATCCAAAATCCCTTCTGTAAAAGCCTTAGATGCTAATATGACTACAAAATGAAAGAATTTTGAACCTGGCTTTATCCAAAGTTCAGATTTCGGTTCCTGAAATGTGTTAAAATATGCGCAAATGTAATGAGATAATGGATAATTTGCATATTCAGAAAACTTGTAATATAAGAAACAATTGCCTTATTGTAGGTAATTAACTGGAGAAATTACCCTATTCACCTGGGGTGTCTCGCCTTAACTAGGCTTCATAAACCATTATAGACAGGGCTGCACATAACTGGTGCGCAGGTGCGCATGCGCACCTCGGCCAAAAAAAGAGCACCGGGTCATTTGAAAAAAGGCGCATTTGCGTACCAACATTGAGAGAGAGGGAGAGAGAAGAGAGAGAGAAAGATATTTGCGAGTTGCATATGAACTCAGGGCCGGCCCGTCGCACTGGCGTTGATTTTCGCCTAGGGCGCCAGATCTGTGGAGGCGCTGCGCTGGTAGTTCTGGGAGGGAAACAAATATTTTTGACTGTTGGTGCTCATCCTAATTTTCGGCCTTGATGTAACAATATTCATAATTAAGTAAATGTAACACCCTTTTCACCCCGGTTACACGTTTCATTTGCCCTGTACGATGGGCGCTGTAAGTGATGAAAATGGGGGATGTTGGCTTGTCTGGCGCCCGCAGCTCACAGCCAAAATGCGAGTGAGCGAGGGAGAGAGGGAGGGAGAGAGGGAGGGTGCACCGGTACTGTTGTTATTAGAATCTGGTGCTAGCTGCGGATATAAGAAGAAGATGTTTCTACAATGATGTGGAGGGAGAGTCCTCTCCAGTCAGACCGAGAGACTGATAACTACAGCTCAGTGAGGTAAAGGACTCTGAGTGTTTAGATAGTTCACTTTAGTCTAAGTTCAAACGGTTTGGTCACAATGTATGTAAACACATATTTTCAAGGCACTCCTTTATAATTATTGGGATAAACAGGTTTGAAATCATTCCAATGTATACTATAGGACAGTAACCCAACATATCCTTTTAAAACTGGACTTTCAACCCAAAACCATGCTGTTGACTTGTGGATGCAAGCAGCTAATCGCAGACTCAACCAGAGAGAAAGTAGTAGGCCTACATCATCAGCTACCATGTCTGACAGAGAGAAAGACAGTGAGGAGAACAGTCAGGAGGGTAGTGATGACAGCTTGATTACTGGTCGTGCTAATGTTGTCTTGTGTTCGCCTCTGCATGTGTGTTCTGTGTTCACCTCTGTGTGTTCTGTGCCGTGTGTCTGACAAATAAAGACCGGTTTATTTATTTCATTTTAAGGATGAGCACCAAGCAACATCTCCAGGTGCTCCTTGGAGAACCAGGGCAAAAAAGTTATGTGCACCCCTGATTATAGACCTACATCACTTAGCAACAGCTGCACATGCCCACATGCTAACTATGGGTCTTACAAACCTACATAACATTACAAATAGTCAGAAAATATTATTTACAATATTAATAAAACTATTGAAGAAACACACTCCAGTCAGTCTTGTCTCTTCTGGTTGTAATAAGCCTTCTATTGTCTGCTGCTATCCAGTCTGTTAAGAATACTGCACAGCTATATCTAAGAAATTCAAAGCATTTACTGTATTATTATCACTCCTATATCTATTAGCATACAGTATCAGTACTGATTAGTTGTTTGTTATATGATCACTTTAAACAGGCTATTGCAATGCAATATGAGGAAAAACATCACACTTTAGCTAAATGCAAACAACTTATAAGCAAAACACTTCAGAATCAGAAATCAGTATCACAAATACTTTATTAATCCCCCGCAGGGAAACTGTGTTAAAAGTACTTAAAAGTAAACATTTGTTCTGTGCCATTTGCAACTAAAAAACTATTGCTGCAATATTATCTGAAATATACTGAACTGGTGATATTAAAACATGACCTGTTCCAAAAGAGATATCTACCATTAACACCATTAACCAGCCAAATGCTGGTAAATCATGCAAGTGGCTGGTACTGTATGTTGCACGCACCAGCCAAACATAACAATGGCAATCTATTGAGTGGCTGGTAACATTTCAACATTCACTAGGCTAGCCATTTGGCCAGTGGACAAAACTGTTAAAATGTGACCTCTGCAACCGTATTGTTTAATTACACTGGGTCTCTAATTACATCTTTGAAGTCTACTATAAATACACATATTCCTCTATCCTCTCACTCAAACCCAGTGTAATGGTAACCTGATAAACCTGTAACATTAACGTTACGTGGTCAACAATAAACCTGTAACCTGCCTATAAACCGACAGATGTATTTATGTAACTATGTATTTTTCTACGTTTAACGTTAGCCAGTAGATGGTGGCAGCGGAACGTAATGATTAACGTTACCGACCTTTTTTATGTCATTTCAAGAGTTGGATGTCAACGCCACTCAACGCAGGGTCGGCTCTAGAACAAATCGAATGGGGGGGGGCAATCATTTACCATGGGGGGGCACACACTGCCGTCAACAACCAACACACAAACACCAACGCAACTTCAATTTCAAAAAACATGCTGTAAAGTCTATTGTCTTTCACACCCATTGCAGGGGTGTAGTGCTATTTTATAGCGCACCTATGACTTCTGCATACATGCACGGTTGTGGCACGATCACCAAAACAGAAACATATGGACATAGGCCACCATATAAAAAGTGTGCAAATGTATTTAGTATCCTATCCATGTGAACATGTTTTAGGTGGGGGTGGACCTAACCTCCTCTAGGAGGGTCTGGGGGCATGCTCCCCCGGGAAGATTATTTTTAAAATATTGAAGTTAAAAGCATCAATCTGGTGCACTTTGAGAGCAAAATGAAGAGATCTATGGATAGCCTACATCTCTCAGTATCCATATGAAACAGAACTGTACACAGATTTACTTTTTCTTCATGGATATTTTACTAATCACTCCCCTTTTAAACTGTATTCTTGTGTTACTGTCCTATAGTATTTCATACCCGTTTTTCATTTATTCTCTTATTCTTTAATAACTATAATGATCATATAAAGGTGTTCCTCGCAAATACTTGTTTGCATAAATGGTGACCAAACCGTTTGAGACCCACTGAGATAACTTACACTAAAGTTAACTATCTAAACACTGAGAGAGTCCTTACCTCACTGAGCTGAGGTTATACGATCCTCTCAGTCTGACAGGAGAGGACTCTCCTCCACCTTGGTGTAGAAACAGCTCTTTATATCCGTTAGCATAGCTAGCTAACCACAACAACATTCCGCGTTACCACTCGCGCACTCACAAAATGCGCTCGTGCCACACACACACACACACAGCCGAGCTTGAATTAAACACAGAGACCCAGAAGTAGGCTACTTGTACTGTACTGTATATCATATTATTTCCGATGGCTTTACTGTATAATCAGTGTAACAGATGAACAGATTGCCACTGGGCTTTCATCTAAACACACAGCCACGGAATGATAACAAAACAAAAGTCGGGGAACATTGGTCAAGCAACACACCAATCAGAGAGCAGCAGTGAGCACACCTCAGGCTGTGTTTTATATTTGTATTTATTTCTGATGTATTTCACACAAAAAACCTTTAGTGGAAACATTTTCACTTATATAATTAACATTTTTTTTTAAAACGGCAAAGTGGCAAGGCTTGCCCACCCTGCGTTGGGGGGCACAGTGACTCATTTGGGGGGGCATGGCCCGCGAATGACCCCCCATGACGCCGACCCTGACTCAACGCAAACAAGTGTGACAAGCAAACATTCACTCATCTTTTCAAATATTCAGTTACAAAGCTAGTAGCAAGCTAAGTTAACATTACATAGCTGATGCTGAGCTAAACATGTTTGCTAACCGTCCATATGCGTTAATGTGACTGACCTCTCCGGGTGAGTTTTCAAGTGCCTGATTAAATTTGACGTTGTTGCACCATCATCCTTGATTTTAATATTGCAGACTTTGCAGTGTGCGCTCCTTTTGTTGGTGCCGCCGGCGTTTTGTTCGAAGTTTTTATAGTTGAACCTAATTACAAGCGGTACAGCTGCAGGTGTGCCGCTGGTTGCCATGGTGTTACCATGATGTTAATGTTAATGTTAAAGGTGGGGTAGGTAAGTTTGAGAAACCGGCTCGAGATACACTTTTTGTTATATTCCATGGAATGCTCTTAACATCCCGATAGCCGGCCCGGCTAAAGTAACTGGATGGCCTACCTGCCTGTCAGCCTCCCATCGGGGCACAAACTTATCTCGTGCCCTCATTGGTCATGTGCGCGTTCGTGTGTGTTGGAGGAGAGGCTCTGTGAGGAAGTGGCAGATTTTCTCCGGTTGTGTATTTTCAAATTCTAGCGATCTCGAGACGGTTTCTCAAACTTACCTACCCCACCTTTAATACGCCAAAAATAGAAGACACAATGATTGTTCACGAGTCCCAAAACACGAGTCCAAGTCGAGTCCGAAGTCTTTTGAGCAGGAGTCCAAGTCAAGTCTGAAGTCTCTGTGTGTGCGACTTAAGTGCGACTCGAGTCCGAGTCACAAACTCGAGTCCCCATCTCTGGCAGGATGTGACACGCCCCCCGCTGCAAGTTGTCGAGAGCCTAGCGAAGAACGCTCCGAGGTCGTCCCGCGAGAAACCGCAGAGAAACCGCAGGCCAGGTACTCCTCCAGCGACCAAAGGTCCGACTGCGCGCCAGTGTCCGCGACGGCAGATATCCGAGCTTCGTCGGCCGTGCCCCGGTTGCCGGTGCCATCCCTCAGCCCGACTGGCATGTCCATCAAGACGGTGATTAATGCTCGGGGGTGGTCTCTCAGCCTGGCCCGTCTCCATTCGCCCTTGGAGAAGATGTGGTGCTCGAGTCTGATAGGTGCTTGCCTGTTGACACATCCGTGCGACGTATGGGCGCGGTGCCGGCGATGGCTCCTGTGACGTTGGCCAGGGCGGGCCCCGGCTTGCACCGACGAGACCTGGGAGACCGGCTCCGACCCCATGGCGGCCTGTTGACTGTCGGACGACGGCTGTTGACGCCTCTGTCGTCGGCGGGCCCTGTAGCAGCCGATGCACACCTGGTGAGGCTTAGGATTCCACCCGCGAGGCCCCTCCGTGAAGACGTTGAAGACGCTCTTACATTCCGGGCACGAGGCACGTCTATGGAGTCGTCTTCAGGCGCTGGAATGACGACATGGCTGATAGGGAGGACGACGGGAGGGCGTTACGGGCCATCTCTCTGTTCTCGACGAGTGCGATTACGACATTAACTGGCTTAATCAGGACGTCAGGTGTCCCCAGCGTCTCGCGGCGTATGTCCGAGTCATAAATGCCATTGATCAGAACATCACGGATGATGTGGTCGGTATAGTCCATGTCCTTACCACACTCGCATACCGCGTTATATGCGCATGTCTCTGCTTTACCCCGCACTCTGGCAGCAAATGTACGGAATGTCTCATCGCGTTCCTGGCGGAACTGAAGTAGCTCGGTGCGCAGGACACATGTAGCGACTGGGATGACAGCTAGGGAACGCATGACGGTGATTAGGTCTGGCAAAGGTCCGGAAGCGGCGTCGGGGGCGGCTTTCAACAGGCTGTCTCCAAGTACAGACCCAGCGCACTGAAACAGCTGGAAGGGGGCCTGGGCATCCCCTATGCCTGATCCGGCACGGAATACGTCCCAACGGCGGATAAACACGTTCCATTCCTCTATCGATACGCCTACATCCACTTTGGGCCGATCGAGTCTCGGGCCGTGAGGGGCTGGGGCCTGGGCTGGCGCGGCCATGACAGGCGCTGCGTGCTGGTGGCTAAATCCATGAATCGTCAGTATAGCAGTGACGAGTGCTTCGGATAAGTCTTGGGATTCGATCTCGCAGCCGGGGACAGGGCATCCAACAACGACCATGGTGTCGTCATGAAGAAACACACTCCTCAATGTCAGTCTTGGTACTTTATTGACAAAGATGACGACACCCTGAAATAGAGCAATGCCGCAGGATAAGCTGATAAAGTATAACATGAACAATACACATATATTCACATACATATATTAAAGACACACTAAATGGTAGTGGAAACAGTCTTACATGTGTGAGTGGACGAACGTCTCAACCCGAGGCGGAGTGAATGAATAACATGTGGGCTAACATGGCCGCTATGCAGTACCGGGTCAAAGCACGGCATATCCGGGCAGCGACAGCAATAATAATGAATAATTCCTTACATTTATTATAGCGCTTTTCAATGACTCAAAGCGCTTTACATATACACACATTACACATATATCATACATGCATACACAGGAGCAAGTTCAGGTGAAGTGTCTTGCCCAAGGACACACCGGCTTTACAGACGCAGCAGCGGCGGGTTTCACCCCTTGATCTGATGATCATTGCACAGAGCACTGCGCCACACCGTCCATCTTCACGCCTCGAGGTCATCGAGGCGCTTTTACAAGTACACATTGGTATTATACATGTACTGTGGACAATACCCACAGGAACAAATCCGGGTGAAGTGTCTTGCCCAAGGACACAATGGCCTGACGCAGTGGCGGCAGGAGCGGGTTTCGAACTGGAGTTCCCCAGCACTCCCCCTTGATCTGATGATCGGATGCACAGACCACTGCGCCACCCGCCCCCAGTGACAGGGTGCAGTGACGCTGCCCTCTAGTGGCCGGCGATATACTCTTCAACTATGAATTCAATTTTAACTGATTGACAAGGCAAAACACTGCACAGCGGCAGCAGTATTAAAGGAAAAAAATCGTCTTACCTTGTGTTGGGGCTTCACAAAACTCCAAATGTAGCCTGGGGTGGCACTAATGAAGACCCTCATTAGAGCAGATACATCCACATTGTCCAAAATGTTACTATGGACATGCATCAAAGTCAGATGTGTCAGTCTCTTCTGTGTCATATTACTCTAGTTGTAGAGGTGGTGGGCTGAGGAGTAGCTGGTCCACTCTTTTTATTGGGTTGTTTGTTGGAGAAAAAAATCCAAAATCCTTTTTTGCGCCATTCTAGAAAGTTGTCACTCTGCAGTGTGTGTGTCGCGTCAATTACGTCACTCTCCCAAGACCTACGACCTAGATGACTCGGATTTTCCTTATTGGAAAATAAATTCAAGCCACCTGATATATACAAATATATACTATGACTATTATATGCTACTGTATACAGCTAATTTTATTTTAAGTAAAATCATAACTATTTTATGTAGTTTAATCATTTTTATTTAGGTGGTCACTCAGTTTTTCAAATGTACACCACTCGCCAACAGGGGGTGCTGCAGCACCCCCAGCACCCCTACTTCCCGATAGTAACCGGCTATGCCGGTTACTATCAACCAACGCTCGGATGAGCTTTTCGTGTTCACCCAGGAGGGAGCCCTGACTTGACAGGGCATGAAGGATTGGGGTAGAATCTGCTCCGGATCCTGCAGGGTTCATTTTTGTCCAGTTCTTCTGTTAAGCTCCTCGTAAAGAGACACAAAACTTGAACCCGCTATGCAAGAACACTGGGACGGAGACTTAGGTGAAGTGTCAAAAAGACTGGATTTAATAAGTCCACAAAAAACCAGGCAGGGGACAAAGCAAAATCTGAACAGAGTGGGGAGAACGTGGAGCAGGGCTGAGACGGAGGTTATTCTGGACGTGGCAGGCAGGACGGAATGGAATGTGGAGTTTCTGGAACAGGCAAAAAACAGAACAGGATTAGCATACGAAAAAATCCAACAGGAAGAGTAAACAAAAGAACTAGAAAATCTAGTCAGCCGGAACTGGAGTTTACCACTGTGAGTATACGAAGAACTGGCGAAGTCTGATGATCGAACCGGAGTTTTAAGCAGCAGCAGGTGAGTGGTGGTAATCAGTGATGATGAGAAACAGGAGCGGAGGTGAGTTGGCGGAAAACGGAACGTAGGTCAACCACGCCCAGCCAGGAAGACAGACAAACAGATAGACAAACAGATAGACAAACAAACAGAAAAAAGGAGAAGGAGATACCGCAATTCCTCACACTTGTTCTTTTACCCCCACGCCCGCGTCCGCGCCCTGGTCTGTCAGAGGGGCTGGCTGGAGCTGCTGGCAAGGGCTGGGAAACGAGGAGTGGGACTTGGTCCGAGAGCTCATGAAGCTGGGAGAGGGGGAGACCTGGGGCTGGTAAGATGCCCTGCTGCTGTAGTTGGGAGGTGAGGAGCTCTGCCTCTGCTGTCTGTGAGGCTGAGCCGCTGCGGGTGAGCAAGCGAATGCTCGTGCGCCGGTAACTTGAGGAAGTCGAAGCTGTGTCAGCCAGTACGTCGGGGCCAGGATCGGGATCCTCCTGAAAGAGATCGATCTCAGATCAATCCGAACTGGACATGATGAGGTTTCTTTTCTAGAAGCGCTATCGCTTAGAAGGTTTTGTTTGCGATTGCCAATTGCTTGCGACTGACAATTGCGTTGAGTCACCTTATAACGGAGGTGATCTCTGGGCCCATAGATCTCGGCCTCCGTTACGGGTAATATAGCATTAAAAACATTGCACAGGAAGCATGGGAATATATGTAATTTATGTAACTAGTTTGTCTGTCTCTGTTTCCTGATTTCATGTTAAAAGTGTTCCCCTTCCCCCATGTCTGTGGCTGTTGATTGTGTGCACCTGGTGCCCTGTGTTGTCTCCTCCCCCCCACCTGTGTTGAATTGTTGATTAGTGTGTGTATTTAGGGTCTGTTGCCCTGTCTGTTTTGAGGCTGGTAGTGTGTGTGAGATCCTGGTGGCTGCAGGCTGTGCCCACGTGAACAGCAGCAGCAGGATTGAGGCTGTGTGTATTGTGTTCATGCTGTAATAAATGCCCACACCGGGTTATATTTGGGACGTGCTGCCTCTGCCTCCTTGCTTGGTCTGGGCCGCTCAATTGTCAGCTTCACAATTGGTGTCAGAAGTGGGATTGACCAAGTGAGGAGGTGAAAACGATGGAGAAACTGAGGGAGATGATGAACTCATTCCTGCAGTATGAGACAGCCAGATTCAAGCGGGAGGAGTGCCGTTTGAGGAACATGGAGCAGCCGTTTTCACAGATACAGGAACAGGTTTCCCTGATGGAAGAGAAAGAGGAGCAGCTCAGGTTGCAGAGGCAGGAAGAGGAGATGCTGAGAAAGGAAGAGGAGATGCGCTTAGTGGAGGAGGCTCGTCTGATACACCTGCAGGAGAAGAAACTTGCACAGGAGAAGAAGATTAAAGACGAGGAAGATGCTTTTCTAGCGGAGGAGGAGCGGGTGAAAATAGCTGAGGGGATCCGTCGGGAGAGAGAGCGTGTCATACAGCGACAGCTGGAGGAGATAAGGGAGAAAGAGTTGAGGATGAAAGGGACGCTTCCTTCCGACTTCACGCCCCCCTCTGAGGAAACCATGCGGCACAAGGGGAAGCAGAAACACCGGGCGGAGTGGAGACACATGGAGGAGAGCAAAATGGCCAAGATCAATAAATGTCGCAGGAATAAGGTACTGTTCTCTTTCGGAAGAGGAAGGAGGAAATGTGACGAAGATGGCTTGGTCACTGTGGACTGACGGCTTCGGGCTTTGTATATTGCACATGTCTTTTATTTTAAAAAGTGTTCCTCCTCCCGTTCATTCTGTTACTCCTGATTATGTTCACTTGGGGCCCTGTGTTGTCTCCTCCCCCCTTACCTGTGTCTAATTGCTGATTAGTGGGTGTGTATTTAGGCTCTGTGTTTCCTGTTTGGTGAAGGCTGGTAGTGTGGGTGAGATCCTTGAGCTGGTGACTGTGTTTACCTGGGCAGCAATATTGAGGCTGTGTATCCTGTACCACAGCGATGAATAAATGCCCACACCGGGTTATATTTGAATTCTCTGGCTCTGCCTCCTTGCTTGGTCGGGCCGCTCAACGGTCAGCTTCACATTTGGTGTCAGAAGTGGGATTAACCAAGTGAGGAGGTGAGAGTGATGGAGGAACTGCTGGAGATGATGAGGTCACTCCTGCAGCTTCAGGCAGCCGGTGAGCAGCAGTTCGCACGGGAAGAGGAACGGAGACTGGCAGGACGGCAGATTGGCTGGAGGCTCGACGGGCGCTGGCTCTGCCGCTGAGGCATCAGAGATCCTGGCGGAGAACCAGAGATTGGTGCAAGAGCAGAAAGAGGACCAGCTCTGGTTACAGAGGGAAGAAGAGAGGAAGGCAGAAGCATTGAGAACGGTTTTTTGAAAAGATGGCGGCGCACACTCAGAAGAATAACAAGCCAAGGAAACCTGGAGGAAAGGAGTCGCAGCTTTTGATAATTGCCAAAACTCCGGAGTTCGTCCGGGAGGTGATGGGTTCCAGCGCCGGTGCAGGCAGCGGGGAGTTCCACGTTTACCGGCACCTCCGACGCAGGAAGAAGCGGGAAAAACTGAAGCGTAAAATGCTGATGGCAAAGATAGCCGAGAGGGTCCGTCAGGAGAGAGAGCGCGTCAGACCGTAGAACCAGCAGGAGCACATGGAGAGGAAGAAAGGGAAGCTTCTTTTCGACTTCACGGCCCCCCCTGAGGAAGCCAAGATTCCTAAGACATTGTATTTCCTGGGGAGAGGGGTAAGGAAATATAACGGAGGTGATCTCTGGGCCCATAGATCTCGGCCTCCGTTACGGGTAATATAGCATTAAAAACATTGCACAGGAAGCATGGGAATATATGTAATTTATGTAACTAGTTTGTCTGTCTCTGTTTCCTGATTTCATGTTACATTATTACATTACATTGCATTTAGCTGACGTTTTTATCCAAAGCGACTTACAATAAGTACATTCGACCAGGAAGACACAACCTTGAAGAAAACAGAATCATATAAGTACATCAGGTTTCATAGAGCCAAACATTTCAAGTGCTACTCAACTGGCTTTAGGTAAGCCAGCCCTTTATTAGTATAAAAGTGCTTCGTTAATAGTTCTAACGCTCGAAGTGGAGTCGAAAGAGATGAGTTTTCAGTTTGCGCCGGAAGATGTGCAAGCTATCTGCCGTCCTGATGTCAATGGGGAGCTCATTCCACCATCTTGGAGCCAGGACAGCAAACCCACGTGTTTTCGCCGATGGGAACTTGGGTCCCCCTCGCAGCGAGGGCGCAACGAGTCGTTTGGCTGATGCAGAGCGTAGTGCACGCGCTGGGGTGTACGGTTTAACCATGTCCTGGATGTAGGAAGGGCCAGATCCATTCGCAGCATGGTAAGCAAGTACCAGTGTCTTGAAGTGGATTCTAGCAGTTACCGGAAGCCAGTGAAGGGAGCGGAGGAGCGGAGTGGTGTGGGAGAATTTAGGAAGGTTGAAGACCAGACGAGCCGCTGCATTCTGGATGAGCTGCAGAGGTCGGATGGCACATGCAGGTAGACCAGCCAGGAGGGAGTTGCAGTAGTCTAGGCGTGAGATGACGAGAGCCTGGACCAGAACCTGAGTCGCTTTCTGAGTCAGCTGGGGACGTATCTTCCTGATGTTGTAAAGCGTGTATCTGCAGCAACGGATTGTAGCAGCGATGTTTGCAGTGAAGGACAGGTTGTTATCTAGGGTCACACCCAGATTCCTTGCAGTCTGAGTCGGGGAAACAACTGAGGTGCCGATGTTGATTGTCAGGTCAAGAGTTGGACAATCTTTTCCCGGGAGGAAGAGCAGCTCAGTCTTGTCAAGGTTGAGCTTGAGGTGGTGAGCAGACATCCACTGAGAGATGTCAGCTAGACAAGCAGAGATGCGTGCGACGACCTGGGTCTCTGAGCGGGGAAAGGACAGAATTAATTGGGTGTCGTCAGCGTAGCAGTAGTTAAAAGTGTTCCCCTTCCCCCATGTCTGTGGCTGTTGATTGTGTGCATCTGGTGCCCTGTGTTGTCTCCTCCCCCCCACCTGTGTCGAATTGTTGATTAGTGTGTGTATTTAGGGTCTGTTGCCCTGTCTGTTTTGAGGCTGGTAGTGTGTGTGAGATCCTGGTGGCTGCAGGCTGTGCCCACGTGAACAGCAGCAGCAGGATTGAGGCTGTGTGTATTGTGTTTATGCTGTAATAAATGCCCACACCGGGTTATATTTGGGACGTGCTGCCTCTGCCTCCTTGCTTGGTCTGGGCCGCTCAATTGTCAGCTTCACACACCTGAAATGACAGCTGTCAGAGGGGAAGGAGCAAAGTTTAAAGGGTTTGATGGCACGCTATGATAGGCTCTTGGGAATAGAGCGAAGTGATTGACTAAGCTGAAGAGTGACGCCCCCGGTCACTTATTGAGAGGAGAGAGAGTAGAAACATGGAGATAGAAATACATGAATGACTAAAGACGGTCTTCCTGGTTGAACTTGCGCTGAGCTTCATAAGTTCAGCCATCCGGGAGGGACTCGGAGTTGAGCCGCTCCTCCTTCGCGTCGAAAGGAGCCTGTTGAGGTGGTTTGGGCACCTAGTAAGGATGCCACCTGGGCTCCTCCCTAGGGAGGTGTTCCAGGCACGTCCAGCTGGGAAGAGACCAAGGGGTAGACCTAGGACCAGGTGGACGGATTATATCTCTTCGCTGGCCTGGGAGCGCCTTGGGATCCCCCAGTCAGAGCTGGTTGATGTCGCCAGGGAAAAGAAAGTTTGGGGCTCTCTGCTGGAACTGCTACTTCCGCGACCCGACCACGGATAAGCGGGAGAAGATAGATGGATGATTCTTTAAATGTAGTTTAATGCAAATACTGGCATTAAAGTACTATACTGTAATTTAACAAAGGTAAAACACTTAATGCATGGCTTTTAAGTCATTGTTTCGTCCTGTAAAATATTTGAGTTCTTGTTGCACCACTGATTGTATTCAAAGACATAAAAAATGTTTGCATGCGCATATTTGCATAGGCAACCAACACATTTTAGGTTTCACTTTGCGACTGTCACGAGATGTTAAACAATTATGAGGAATGAGAAGTATGTTTCTAAACATTGAACTCTGTCACTCTTTAACTGGATTAATCATTGATTGATCAAGACTGTGCTGGTTTGAAGGAATCATCCACGTCAGCTGGCATGATTGTGAGAGCGAGTGCACCTGTAAGAAGAGCAAGTTAATCTCTAACTGGTCCATTCAAAGGTCACAAACGTTTTATACTCAACACAAAAGGAGAGTGTTCTTGTTCATGATGTGTTGACGGGGGAGATGTTGGCTATTGGGTTAATGAAAAACGTACCTTTTGACTCACCTACTTTTTTATTCAGTGATTCAAGAAAATCCAGTCATTGTTGGGCAGTCACCACCCCAATACGAGAACTTCTGTATTGTGAGCCTCTGTATCACATTATCGAGCACACTGGTGGTGAAACAAGACTCCCAATTTAATAGACAAGTGGGGTGTGCGTGAACAGATGATTAAAAGATCATAAAGATATCTAATAGGCACATTTGTGAAAATATAATTGGATTTACCTGTTGGTCTTTTACCCCCTTTCCCGTCCATTAGGGATAATGGTTTTTCAAAGATGCAGTCAGACCAACGGCTTTCTGTCCGAAATGAAGTCCCCTTACTCATTAGCATGAAGCAATTCTGAAGAAGTGGGGATGTAGCACTCTACCAGCAATTAAACAAACAAAGAATTCAATCAATTCTCAAATCCACCCAAGTGCACATTCATTGGTAGAATACTTGAATGCTTTCATTGTTGTACAACAAATGTATGTCTTGATCAATGTAAAAAAAGTATCATTGCCACTTCAAGGTGTAAAACTATTCACATGAGATTATAAACTGAAGTATGTTTTGTGCAGTGCTTTTCACAGGTGTTACTCATGCAAGAGCAGGCCTATTGGATGTCTCAGAGTGTCACCTGAAACAAACGCCCCACCCTACCCACACAAGTACATGCATTGTTTAAACAGTAGAAGTCTTGACACCTTTACAAAGCCCCCATGGTGTCAAAAGAAAAGGTCTTTCTGAACAAGGTCGCTTGAAAACTCAGCCTTCAGTTTTGGCCTTTATTTTCATTTGCTGTGTTTGATATTCAAAAGAGATACTTTAAGGAATCCTTTGAACATTAGAGCTTGAAAATGTAGTTTTGACCTTTGCATTTGAATTATCAAAACATTGAAAAAGCCATTTTACAGTTTGTCAAAAAAACACAAGAAAGGTAAATACTAGTATTTATATAACTTTCTTACCTCTATTTATTTAGACTTACCACAACTTTATAACCCCCCAAAAATAACCAAAGTTCAGTTTATAAATGTAGTGTACACACACACACACACACACACACACACACACACACACACACACACACACACACACACACACACACACACACACACACACACACAGACTTCTCTCTATCAAAACATTCCACTAAACCGGTCTTACAGTTTGACAGCAGACTTTTTCTCCCTCTTCAGTGTGTAGACACGCACACACACACACACACACACACACACACAGACTTCTCTCTATCAAAACATTCCACTAAACCGGTCTTACAGTTTGACAGCAGACTTTTTCGCCCTCTTCCTCTTCAGTGTGTAGACCACACACACACACACACACACACACACACACACACACACACACACACACACACACACACACACACACACACACACACACACACACACACACACACACAGTCCATGTCCAAATCTAATACAACCTATTGTTACAAGATACCAATTGGAGAACAAGAAAGTAGCATTAATGTAGACTGAGAGACAAAACCCAGTCCTCTCCATAAGTTATCTTATATTATGAAGGGGTCTTCCTGAAAGATGATACTTTTATTTGAATTCTTCCTGCATGTTGTGTGTCTGTTTTTCTCAGGTTGCTTCAGTAAAGATCAGGTTTATCTGGATGGGATCCTTCGTATCCTTAGGCATCGAAGGAATATTGACTTCAAGATGTTGACTTCTTTAGGCAAGGTCAGTGTCGTCAGCTTCAAATAATAAGAGCCTTTGTTCCTAATACAACGATTACTATATGGCAGGTAAGTAAGGAACCCATGGTTTCATTTGAGAGGAGGTGTTTCTAAAGTCTCTTGTGGTTACAGGCATTACAAGCTTAGAGATAACAACACTGACGGACCCAATGGGTGGAGCAAATAAAGGTGTGGCTATACCTGCAGGTAAAATAGGTCGCAGTGCCATGGTTACATGATAGACCCAGGGGCTGGCTAGACAACTGGAGTGTCTCCCTCAGTTACAGAGATGGCAGGATCCGGACTTAATGTTTGGAGATCTCATTTGTATGTCCTTTACCACTCCTGTTTGTCGTAACAGGTATGAGTTACACTTATCTGTAACTAAATGCCTCAAAAAGTCAAGCCATGAATTTTTCAGCGTGATGTTTCTTCTACTACTAATCTAAAAAAGGACGGCGGGAGTATCATCATGCTGGAAAATGACTTTGCTGACAGAGAACCGAGGTATGTCAGCTTTTCAAACAGTTTTTTCTTTATTCACGAAGTGGTTCTACCAAGAAGAGGAGGCAGAAAAGAGGAAGGAAGGCACTCTTTATGTTCAGATAAATGTCAGAGTAAAATGTATTCATGGAAATATATAAAGGTAGGGCGTTTCATCTGTAAAACGTTCTTTAAGAAAGAACTTGTGTTGTAGCTGCTTTAACCTTTTAAAGACTAGCATGTTATCATGTACAAAATCGTATATATTTTTACATTTAAAACACTGATAATACATTGTCTGCCAGTGCCAAGAGATTTGACTTAAGCAATAGTGGGAATACCACAGACATACAACTTTTTTTAAATTAAAAGTCCTGCATTCAAAAGCGAAAGAAAAGTGTTGGCATTAAAGGGGACATAGAATGCTAGTATTCTTATAGTAGCCTATCTGTATAGTTGTGTTTTATATTTTTTACTATCCATTGTTAACATGCCTTAATGTTCGAAAACCAGCCAGTTACAATGCACCTTAAAGGATTATAGACTTGTTTTAAAAAATAGCATGTTGCTATAGCACATTATATGACTGAAGGATAACGCAAGTTTATATGTCAGCACAACGCAGCATGTAAAAAGTAATATAATGATGAGTGACAATTAATATAATCTTTAGGTGGTGCTGTCTGTACCTTTGACCTCACACACACACACACACACACACACACACACACACACACACACACACACGCACACACACACTTACATCTATACTGGTTCATACTAGTGAGTGTGCATGTGTGTAGGAGTAACAATATATTATAATTTACCAGTGGATTTAGACATATATATTTTTAATAAAGTAAATGGTAACTGTCTTTGAGTAAATTAACTTAATTTCCTTGCTCCATGTCTCATGTCTCTGCTCTCAGCCAGGTAATGATGTTGGGAAAGTGGAGAAGGTGTTTTTCACGGCGCCACTGCCTCTTCTTCGTCCTGGTGCTCACAGCAGTTTTGTTTTTCTACTGCACAGACATAAAAGAAATGACGACTGGCTGGAACCCAACAAAATGGTGGATTCCATGTAAAGATCACAGACAAAAAGAACTGACTGGATTCCAAACTCAGTCAGGCTTGACTGTCCTTCTTCAAACTGAAAATATCACAGCAACCAACATGACCAACAGGACTGCCACCAATACAAAAGATTCAGTGGTGACTCGGCAGTTGGCACAAACTATGCCACCATCACCAGTTGCTTATAAATCTCCGGGCCTGTACTTAGTGGAATACCCATATAAGTACAGCTTCATCATAAACGAGCCAAAGACATGTGAGCAGCAGAAGCCCTTCCTGGTTCTGATGGTTCCCGTGGCGCTCCACAACAGGGCGCATCGGGACATCATCCGCAGCACTTGGGGAGATGAAAGTCTGGTACTGGGCAAAGTGGTGAAGCTGTTCTTCCTGCTGGGGCTGCCAACCGGAGAGGGAGTTCAGCAGCTCCAGGATCAGCTGCTGCAGGAGAGCCAAGTGCACCACGACCTGCTGCAGAGCGACTTCCTGGACTGCTACAAGAACCTGACCATCAAGACCATGGTGATGCTGGAGTGGCTGGACTCCCACTGCTCCATCACATCATACGCCATGAAGATTGACTCTGACATGTTCCTGAATGTGCCAAAACTCGTTCATATGTTGTCAAGTGCTCCAAAGACAAACTACATGACCGGACTAGTGGCGAAGGGAGCAGCAGTTCTAAGAGATCCACGATCCAAGTGGTTCGTTCCTGTGGAGCTTTACTCTTCGCCAGAATACCCACATTACGCTTTGGGTCTGGGCTACGTTTTGTCTATTGACCTCCCTAAAAAGCTTATTTTGGCATCCAGACATGTGAAAGCTATTTACATTGAAGACGTGTATTTGGGGTTGTGTATGCAGTACTTGGGCATCCCCCCAGCGGATCCCCCAAACTGGGGATATTTCCAAGTTGATCCTGTGTGGTACAGTCGCTGTGCTTACTCCAGGCTGATAGCCACCACCACACATGATGACACTAATCGTGTGAGGGATTGGAAAGACTTTAAAAAACCAGGTCCATACTGCTGAAATGTTGAAAGAAAAGACATGACATTTATTTGAATTATTATGGGTAATGATTGCCATTCTATGTCCAGTATAAAAAAATACTGGAGGAAAAACATCAAAATGGGTTAATAACCCTTAGTGGTTAACCCAAGTGGGTCTTTTTTGACCCGATGAGGTGGTTTTATTAGAGTATCTTTGTAATTACATTTTTTTATCATTTAATATTCCAGCTATTCCTCAAAAAACATGTTTTGGATATCATGCCATTCAAATTTTTTATTTAAATTGTATACATTTTAAGAAATTGTAGTTTTTGTATTACTACCCCAAGCTTCCATAAGTGGGTCAAAAATGACCCGCATGCATTTTCTATGGAATTTCGTTTTTTTTTTCAAAATGTAAAAAAAAATTATAAATAGTGAAAGTATGAACCAAAATATAATACTAAATATTATACAAGTGATTTTTCTTAACCAAAAGGACAACAATTGCATGAAAACACATATTATTCTAATACGGGTCCTTTTTGACCCACTTTTGGAAGAGTCACTCGTGCATCCAAGGGTTAAACATGTACACATCATGTATACATTTATACTAAGGCAAGTCATGGAGGACGACATACCTCTCCGCCCTTAATTGCAGGGCTGCTGAATGAAGATGAAGGAAATAGACTTATGTTTGCTAAAAGCATAGTAATCTGATATGTGATAGGTAGTTTGCTTGAAGAAATAAAGTTTGTTAGGCGTTTGGTTGTCACCAAAAACACCTTACAGCCTTGAATACATACTGTAACATTGGTAGAGCCACATCAAGGCTCTGTGCCATCTGTTGTTTTTGTATAAACCCTGAGAAATGCTCCCCAGCACAAGACATGTTGGGACACGTGACAGCATTTAGGAATACCCTGCAATGTTGATTAGCAGTGGATAAAATGCAGGCGGAAAAATGTTCCTGTAAGGTTATCTGACAGTTTCCTTATCTGTTTAGTTTAGTTGGAGCTATTATTTTGGCTGCAGAAGTTTCAGATTGTAGAAGAGTTCCTGGAGCAGGAGTGGAGCCAGACGTTGTAGAGATTCGGGGGGGAAGGCCCACTCCAGGATCTTTTTTTCTAAAGTTCTCTCAGTTTCTCAGTTCCACTCATTTATCACTGGACAAATCTTCCTTAGCTGGCTATAGAAGGCACTAGTTGAACTTTTTTGCCAAATGTTTCCTGGTCAGGTTAAAGAAGAATAAGGGAAATTGCACAAAAGTGAAGGAACTATGAGAAACTCAAAGGTTTGAGGCCTTTGAGAAAACAATAGAAATTGGAGCCCCAGAAACCGCCCCTGTTTGGCCTTTGTTCTGAAATAACCCCACCTCTTTCTGAGAGGTGGGGTTATGAGACTCAACATTTTATATAAAGATCAATTGTATTGCTTTAGCTTGGGACATTGTTTCAACATATTGCACCACCACATTTCCGCGCTTTAGTTTATTCAGTCTGGCAATGCGCGGGAAAATTAAGTACAGACTAGTTTAAGTACAATAGAAGTCTAGAAGGAAATAATGTTTGTTGCTATATTTTTGAAATACGTATGTGAAAGCACTCGACAAACTGGTCCCTGAAGGGGGACGTTTACAAACCAGGGCTGAGTGGAAGGGCATGTTTAAGCATGTCAACGGTTTATATTGTGATGAAGTTCACAAGAAAAACAGGAATGTGTCTTTCAACAATTCTAGTTCTCCTTTCTGTGGCCTGTTTGAATAGCACTGTGCAAATATAGCATTGCACTACACCTTAGACATGTTCCTATGAGAAATACAATTACATGAGTCGGAAATTCAGTTTTTTATGCAACTGGATTTTCAAACTAATGTGGGGCGTTTTAATGCAATTGAATGCAACTGATATTGACTTTATTATTACTAAATGGTTGAAATGTATGAATTAATATATGAGTACTTATGCATTAGTAATATATATAAATGTCTTTTGCACTATTAATATGAAGTTTTTATAATTTAGCTGGTTTTCAATTAGTTAGGAGTTTGGTGTTTCTTACTTTTATCATTATTCTTATTGTCTAGGTCTAGTAGGTTCAGTCTTTGGTGGGTTGAAGACTTAATCTGTCCTGTTGTACCTAAAGCACTTTTAAATATTGGTAAAGAGGGAGATATATATTTATGAAGTTTATGTTTTTATTGGTAAGATAAAGAAAGAAAGGTAGTCATTTAGTCATCCAGAAAGCCATCCGCCACAAAGTGTTTTCAAAATAAAACTGTATAATGTAAAAATGGTCTCTACTGTTGACCACATATCTTCTGCTGCAATGTGACCAGAGGTCCAATCACTCAACAACCATGATATTTATTATGTGTACGTAATGAATGAATGCAGATTTTCTAGAATTCAGCATACTCTGTGTACAGTTTATAATACTCTGGTGAAATGTCACAATTGTATCAGGGAAGTACAAGGGTCTGTTTTACCTTTTCAGTTTTTACTCCTTGTTGTCATGCAGAGACACCATGTGGACCTTCTGTGAACTGCTACTGACTAATATGACACATTTAAGACCTCAGTGTTTCATTTTCTGTTCTTCGTGTGTGTGAAATAAATGGGTGAGAAAATTGTTATTTACTGATAAATACAACATAAAGTCGGCTAATAACTCGTGATACATTATTATTGGTAAAAGAAAATCTATAAGCTAACCAACATAAACTATACAGTAATATTATTCTTATTATTAGCTTCAACAATAAAGTAAGGTGACTTGGTGTATAAACGTATTGATCATTAATTATAATCCAATAATATAATTTATATTATTCTGAAATAAGCATAATTCTAAATAATCAGTCATCTACTTAGTATTTTTTAAAGTATTTTTAAAAATATATATTTTCATGCTAATACTTTTGTAAAAGTAATAGTCCTGGATCCAAAATCCAGATCCTGATATTTCCCTACATTTTGAAATCACATCATAAAAAAAAAAAGCTTTTTCAAATAATATTTAGAAAGTTTTGGAACATTATTTTCTCCTGTTGTTTTGGACAGAGCATTTTGCTCAAAAACATTCCTTATCATCACATTTGAAATCTGAACACAATGACATTAAACACATATTTTTAGATCCATTAGGTCCATACATCATAGGAAAAAAAAGATGGCATGTTAAGTTGTCTCTCACCCATTTGCCAGAATGTAAACAAACACAACAATAAATACTATAGTTCATATTATGTTTTTATTATTAGTGTTTTATAACAGTTCTTGGGTAGAGCAATACAAATAAGCAGCCAGTAGTAGAATTTGAACATAGTATATATATATATATATATATATATATATATATTGCAGCTTGGCCATCGATAACTAATAGTTATTTTAGATGAAAAATAGAAAATAGTATAAAAGTGCCAGTGGAAAGTACAAATACTTTATAAAAGGTCGCACAGTGCAAGGCAATCACTCAATACATCTAAAGTAGTGAATGAACAGTTCACATCTGTAACCTGCAGAGGTGTCTACACCCTTCATCTAGCAGAGGCCAACATTCACAGTTTTAAAATCAAATAACTTAATTCACTGACCCGTCATAGTTATCACATCTTCATTACATTTGATCGCAATAAAATTACTCTATAAATAAAAAAGTATGCTTTAGAAAAACAATTAAATAAAAAAAGTATTCCTGAACTCATTTAGCTGAACAAGTCTTCGTATGAAACACAAAACACATATTCAATGTGTGGTTGAAAAATGAAAGTAACTTTAACATGTGTCTAATACTGTCCTTTTTATAGCTTGGCATTTTGAGAGAGACGTTTGTCCTCTTTTTAATAGCACATGAGATTATCAATAGTTAAAGTCACAGCTGATTATTTAAATAAACAAGTTAAATGTATTGAACAATTAACTGAGCTTTAAAGGTGCTTGTCGTTTACATACATGCACATTTCAGATGTCTATGAGTTATACAAAAACTCTGCTCTAAACTTCTCACATGGTTTCATTTACGTATCCCTGTCTTCCTCTAAATGGGCCATCATTTAGTAAACAAACATCCTGCTGCACTGAAGAAGACTTGAAACGAGACCATAAAGTAATTAGGGTAATAAATCAAGTGAGAAGTAGTCCTTTTCTCACAGACTTCTATATATAGACTTATCTTTGCAACCAGTGGAGTCGCCCCCTGCTGGCCATTTGGAAGAATGCAGGTTTTAGTAAGGCTTCACTTTTCCTGGCAGCATGAACCTGATGTGATCTGTACACACGATAAAAAAGAAAATCGTATATAGAGACTATTTGGAAGGACTGGACCCCCAGGTTGGGAATCACTGGACTTAAATAGCAAACGTATAAGTGGAAATCTGCCCTATCTCAAGCATGTACAACAGTAACATGCTGCTCTAACATTGATATATTGTATCAGTATCTGGTACAGCATTAGATATTGGAGGTCCGATCCTTTCTAAATGACTCTTTATATTTACAAATGAGTTACACCGCTAATAACCTACCATCCCTGTGTTTACACATGTCTGGTGTAATTCCTATTAGTTTGAGAAACTGAACCCACAAGTTCTGCTTTCACATTAACTTTAAAAAAGATTCTGCATCATGTGATCAGGATAGTTTCTTTGATCATTTCGTGTAGCTGGGCACAGCACAAGTGCAGGCTACAGGGACAATGATAGAATCCCGTTTAACCCTGTATCTGTCTGGGTGTCGTTTGCATGGAGTCTTCCTCATGATGGTCAGCTTAACATGCACAGGAACAGAGTTGTAGCTCATGTCTTCACGCTGGTTGATGAAGCAACCTTGATAAAGGCACTTGGCAAAGGGGATCTCATGAGGAAACCTGTTGTCGTCTCGGCTTACACTGATGGGAGACAATCAGATTGACAGACATGAATAATGAGAATGATTTCTGTTTGTAAATTGTTCTTTATTGTCTATGTGATGATACTGACCCTACCCCAGAAAAGTCTGTTCATAGGACAGATTCACAATTTCTCAGAAACTATAATCCCATTTCCAAATGTACACTGAAAGAGTTAATAGTATTTGGGCAGTAAACACTCAGATGTTCTACTTGAGCAAAACTAGCAAGAACACGGTGAAGAAAAACATTATTTTTTAAAAGAATGACACAATTGCCCTGAGTTGATTGGATCCAGATCACCTGTTGGCCCCTAATTAAGAACCGAGAGCACCTGGATGCTTTTCCCTCTCGTCCTATCAGGTGGGGACGACGCCCTTTCTTTAGGACTTAAGAAAGGTAGAGAATGGCAGCTTTCGTAACTGTCATATATTAGCATTCTGAACCCAGCTGTAAAAAAAAAAAAACAGGGCAAATTTTCTTACTATTCCAGAAATAGTTTATGCTTGCCTAATGGTAACCTAACATCCACAAGGCTGATATTAACCCTCCATTCATACACAATTCCTTACTATAAAAGAGGCATTCTATTATAATTAGTAGAGGACATTTGGGGATTTTTATTCAGGATTAATTTTTGCAATTTTAAATAACTTTTGAGATTTGTTTCTCAGTCAATATTTATTTTTGCTGTTTGGAACTATAGTTCTCAAGTTTCTTCCCAATTATCTGAAATCGGTTTTACAATTTGTATTAAAGTTTTAATCTATTATTGTTTGAACTTTATAATCATAGTTAATTAATAATGCTAAAGTTAAACACCATTTTCACTATTATTTAATTGTTTATATTTACTATTACAATTATGAAGTAGGCTATGTAGGATTTGGTACTTTTATTAATATAAGTATTTGTATTTTCTTAAGTACGCTACATTGATATATTGAATACAGGAACATTTATGTATTGCTATACTTTTAATTAAGTAAAAGATCTGAATATGTTACACTGCAGTAATGTTAAAATGAAGAACACCTCTTTTTGAGAGACAGTGATTCTTACTCAGTCATGATAACGGTAAGCACTTTTGTCCCCCTGCGGGAGCCGTAGCTGCATATTGTCCAGGGGCAGGGGGGGGGGGGGGGGGGGCAGTGCCCCCCTAACACTGACCTCTGACCCCCCTGTGGCCCCCCTAAAAATGAAAAGTGAAAAAAATGACGTTATTTGTCATTCTAGTCGGACCCATTAGAGCGGTGCACTCAGGACCCATTAGAACGGTGCACTCACTTTCACTGTCCGGCTGAAGCGCGCGAAAAACAAACACTTTTCATCTTGGATCATCAGAGGCTGTTGCATCCAAGAAAGACTGATTGAAACCTACGTTTCGAGAGACTACCACGATAATTGAAGGTGAGTTAAACTATTGTATCTGTGTAATTGTAGATGTAAAGTAGAGATGTAACTGTTCATTGCCTTTATTTTTATATAAATATGATATGGTGTTAGTGCAAAAATTGTACTATAACTTAAGCTGAAGCTAACAGTAATAACTATAAGATATATCTGAAATAAACAAGTGTACTGAAACAAATACCAATAACTGGATTGCATTGTTTTCTTATGCGCAATTACTTCATACATGTCTAGTTTTCTTTTTCGTCCTGCATTTATTGTGCCCCCCTCAGAAAATAACTGCCCCCCCAGTGGCCCCCCCAGTCAAATTGGTCTAGAACCGCCACTGATGTTGTCACTAATGATCGACTTGCCTGTAGACCCACGGGGACAAGGAGCGGTTCTGCAGAGAGTTTTCAGGGAATCTCAGTTTGCTCCGGTTGTGATCCAGAAACCTTTCAGCTTTCTGGTTCACGTCGTTCACAGACATGCACCCATCAGCAGAGGTAGAAATGAAGGTATTGAAGATCAGCAGCAAGCCGATGGAGATCTATAAACATTGAGATAGAAAATATTAAAAACAATGTGGACACTTCAGCTCACAATTTTCAGGATGACAGCAAATCTTGTCTGGTGCGCTTTGGTTCATTTTCATATTACCGTTTGTAGACTGACAGATGATGTCATGTTGAACCCGGAGAGGTGCGACTGTGCTCGGCCGCTCCATTGCAGCCAGTATATATACACACACTATCTTTGCGTAGGGCTGCTCAGGTTTGAATGGAACAATCCTTTTCAGCTGGAGTATTTCCTCCAGCTGAATCACTGGGTGTTTCTCAATGTCGAGGACGCTTCCTTGGTAGGACATGTCTTCCGAGTCACTTCCTTCAGAAGCTAGGCAAGAATCCTTCCCGGCTTTCGGAAAACGGTGAGTGGAATAGGCTAGCAAGTGTGCAAGTGTGTGTCATGTCATACAGTCTATGGTCATGTCATGTGAGAGGCCCCGCCTTAAAGTTTCCGTCACACATTTTGGGGAATTGGTCCGTGCGCAAACAAAGCAATGTGGGGATTTTAAGTCCGTGGAGGATACACATGTGCAGCCTCGAAATGTCTCGCTACGAAGGACGCCGGGCTCGGTAGAATTCCAAGGAGCCTGGACATTGGAACAGTCCTTCGGCGGGACTCGATGACGTAGCATCCTTGAAATAGTGGCTCTGGAGCATCCTTCCTTGACTTTGAGAAACACCCACTGCCTCCGAGAAAGAGAGGAACGTGAGCACCATGTTCTATTTTTACACTCCTGTTTTCATTAGCACCAGACTACAGTATTATTGGGACCATTATTGGTACATTACTGCCATAATATTTCAAGAACT